TAATGATGTTAATTCATGAATCATGCTTAATGATTCGTCACTGTATGAGCTTTTAAACAAATTACAGAGGAAATTAGATATGGGGGACTTACAGAGTATAATCCAGAAAAACTGTAGCCTCTGCTATATGTGTGTGTGTGTGTGTGTGTGTGTTTGCGTATAGATAGAGAGAGTGCGTGTGTGTGAGAGTTTTTCTCCACTTCTGGCAGTGGCGACTGACCGACTTGGAAGAGTGGGATGGATTGAGGTGGTATTTAAAGAAGAAAAAGTTCTTTTTATTTATTTCAAAATAAAAATAAAATAAATAAATAAATAAAAACTCAAAATTATTCTTAAGACAAAATGAAAATAAGAACACTAATTTCAAAATTTAAAGGTATATTAAGTGTATTTTTGAGTTCTTATAAAAAAAAAATTAAAATTAAAATTGGCCGTATTAGAGGAGTATTTTGGATATATTTCTAAATGTTAGAAATTTATATGCTCAATCTAAATTGTAAGATTTTTTTTTATTTTTTATCCTTTATTTATTTATATTTCTTTTTGGTTGATTTTTTATCTGTATTTGGAAAAAAAAACTGTTGGAGTGCAAATCTTGCGTGTTATCCCTATCGCTTCTGTTTCACAAAGATGTCCACATTTATTAGTTATCTATACCCTCTAATTTTTTTTTAATATAATTTAATAAATACATTGTATATAATTAAGAAAAAAAATGAATGCGTACCACCACATTAATACATGATAAAGATATGGATGATAACGAGAAGCTCCTAATAATAAAGGTTATAATAATATTTAAACCTATATTAACCCAAAAATCCACAAGAATTACAAAAGTCTAGAATATGCATTTGAATACATTGCTCGGGATAGCAGTAAACCTGGGAATCACATGCTAAATCAGACAAAAGAAGACAGTATTATTAATTAACTTGCTTTAAAAAAAACATTACCATTCCTCTCTTTCCATATAAAATAGAGACATACCACAAAACTTAATTAGTAAACCGGGAACAAATTTAAGATAAACTTAATCAAATCAATCTAATTAATATTTTGTGAGTATAATTTTATCAAAAAACAGATTGAATACTTAATATAATAAGCTGACAATTTTATCCAAAAATGAATTGAATACTTAACTTAAGAAACTGATATAAAGGCTTATATATAAGTACAGATTAATTTTCTTGCTCCATAGTAAAAAAATTAATCCACACTTTTTATATAGACCATTAGATTAAATCTAATGGTCAAATTTCAAACCCAACTATGGTATTTCTTTTTAACATAAAACACTCTTTTTAGTTTTTATATTTAATTTTACCATTATCACCTACTATAACAATAAAAGGTAATTATCAAAATAAAAATAGAAACTTTTGAAAAAAAATAATACCAGTATATTTTACTAAAAAATTGCTTTTATTTAGATATTTTTTTTGAAAGAAAAACAATACCCATATCTTTCAATTTTGCAATAATAGTATGATATTATAGCATTTTTCTAAAAAAATCTTGTTATTTTAAGTATAAGTAAATTAATATATTTCTTTAGTATAAGTAAACTAATATACTTCTTTAGTATAAGTAAATTTACAACAAATATACTGTAATATTGCATTTTGGAATATCGAATTAATTATTGGAATTGAAATTGAAGAAAATTTCATCTAAAGTTTGAACAAAAATTCTTTTTATTTCTATTTGAAGTTGGGCATTTGGTGAAATTCATTATTGAATCTGTGAATTTGTGAGTTTGATTATTGGATGATGATGATGTACTGACTATGGTGGGACGGCAGAATCCACTTCAAAAACAACAAGGTAACTCAAAAAAAAAATGGGTGAAACTCTTTTCACAACCTTATCCATGGAGAGTAATCATTTGTCCATACTCTTGTCCATGGATTCAAATACAACGCAAGAAGAAATGGAGAGAGAGTTGATAAGTGGTAATGGTAAAATTAAATATAGAAACTAAAAATAAAGTGATAGTGATTTTGTGTTAAAAGGAAAGGCTAAAGGTGGGTTTGAAAAATGACCGTTAAATTTAATCTAACGGTTTATATAAAAAGTGTGGTATATATATATATATATATATAGTATGGTTGAAGGTCCTACAACTTTTTGTCAATGACAGCTCTGGATATATTCAGAAGAGAGGGAAGGTGAAAGACCTTTACCACGTCTAATAAAGAAGCTCGAGAAACGTGAAAAATGGAGTGTGAAGAATTTTTGGTCTATGAGAAATATTTTTGCCTTGTTGGAATGTGATGAAGGGCTTATTGAGAATATTACAAAAATATTTAATCTTACTATAGAATGGAATGATCATTTCATAGGTTTAGTAATGGAATGGATTTTCATTCCCCGAAATGAATTTTCATTCAATTGGAATGGTCATTCAATTGGAATGGTACCAAACAAATAAATGGTTAGAATGGACATTTCATTCCATTCCTACACACCAAACGTAGCATTAAGAGAGTTCCAATTCATTGCAGCTGATTGAAAACTGCTCCATTATTTTTAGTTTTATTTTTTTAATCGTTGCGATTTAGAAGAGAGGGAGACTCAAATACGAGCATATCCACAGAGATCACGCTCTACTATTTCAAGATCCAGGAATTAGTATCCTTTTTAAAACAGTTTTATTACGATATAGTTTGTACTCATTTGTAAGATAACAAGTAAAAGCTGTCATACAATTGATACAAATGCTTGATTTATTAATCACAAGGGTTGGTTTAAATTGTAAGTCATTTGGGCTTGATACTCATGAAGCCCAAACTTGGGGCTGCGTCTGCCGGTAAAAAGTCAGAACTTTATTTAGGGCTGGCTTTGGGCCTAGGTGACCGCCATTCGGTTGCCTAAGGCCTCCAATTTGGGCCAAAAATTTTGTATTACAAGGGTTCAAAATTTTGTATTACTAAGAGCATCTCTAATGTTAAAAGTTATCTTTAATTGTCAAATCTATATTTTAATAGGTGTTACAGTGTTAAAATGTTACATTTTAGCAATTCTGTTCCAATGGTTCATTTCATGCAAAATGCTTTTTTTTTACACAACCACCATTCTTTTTCAATTATCATTCCCACCATTCACATTAACATTACTAATATTAATATTAAGCACATTCCAAGTTAAGTTGTAGACATTAGAAGGAAACTAAAATTAAACCTAATTAAAAAGAAACAAAAATCTAAAATATCTGGTCAAAAAATGACCAATATATATATATATATATATATATATATATATATATATATATATATAAATTTATATATTTGATTATATATAAATTTTTTTTTCTTTTTCGGAAATTCATATATATATTATATATATATATTTGAGTATATTATTATTAAAAATATATATATTTTTAGGGCAAATCATTTCAGCCTCCCCAATCGCCTCCATCTCTATTCTCGTTCTCAACTCTGAACTCCCCCTCTCTCTCTCTTTGCAATTGCAAACTTGAAAACCTACAATAATCAGAAGTTGAAAACCCATATATTTCAGTTTATCTATCTGTCTGCAAGAATCAAAAGATCAAAACCCATATCAGCAAATCATTTCAGATTGTTCAAAAACCTATATCTTTTAGTTTACATCGCCAGCTGTTCCAGTTTGGGTTCACCGTTTGCAAGCTTCAGCCGCTCTCTTAACTCTCAAGCTTCAGCTGCTCTCTCTCTGCAACTGCTAAATTGTATGTATGGGTTTCATTTTAATTTTTTTTTTCCTAAATCAACTTATCAAGGTCTGTAATTCTTGTTTTGCAAACTAAATCCTATTTGGTGAAATTTTTTATGATCTTTTTTAAATATATATATATATATATTTATATAGACGAATTTGGGTTGAAATTATGTGTGTGTGTGTGTGTGTGTGTGGTGTGGGGTCGGTGTCAGAGAGCTGATATTTGAGAGAAATTTCGAGATTTTCAAATTTTGAGAGGCCAAATGAAAGACCATTGGAGTGACTTTTTTTTACCTATCTCTCAAATTATGAGTTTGAGAACTCAAAATGAAAGAGTATTGGAGATGTTCTAAGGGCTCTCAAAATTGAGTCTCACATTCACCTGAGACCTCAAAAATATTAGGCCTCTAAAGCCGTGACTTTATTCGGTCATTGTTTGAATAGTGTCTCAAAAGACTACCTGATTACCGAAAAAACAAAAAACTTGATTTATTTGCACTATTGTAACGTAACAAAATGGTTCCCTCTCTCTTATATTTTTAAATGGGCAAACACTGAAGGAGATTCTAAAGGCGTAATTGAGATTTCTTCAAGCAAAAAATTTAGAATGCCTAAAGACATAGGACTCATTATAAAACTAAGCAGCAGTATATCTTGAACTTGGGGATTTTACGTGACTTGATGAAACATAACAACATTAGCAAAGTTTGTTTAGCTTTTGCATTATCAGTAAATATTTTGAATTTCCAACTTTATTAAGAAAATATTCCATATATTTAATTGCATGCAACATGAATGGGGTTTTAGGCCACGGGACACATTGCGAGTGTATTGTTCACATTGGACCATGAATGTTTTGTTCTTGTATATTTTACTTACCAGGAGAAAAAAGAAAAATGAAAAATGAAAAAAAAAGACACATTGCGAGTGTGGGCTATGTTTTTTTCTTTTGGGTTTTGGACCTTTTATTTGGAAAATATGGCATTGTGCTCCAAATTTAATCAAAATATCGTTTCATATTTTGTTGACCTTTGTGCTACTGTATAATGATTTTCCTACACCTAACCAGTAATATGCAATTGTTTACCCACTTATAGACATGCTATATATACCATATGCAATTTTCTCTTGGGCTTTAATTTACTTGTATCTCCTTTGCATGTCCAGATTTCAAATCCCGTTGTGAGTGCATGAATTTTTTAGCATGGTTAAAAAAAACAAACAATTAAAAAAATAATTATGTCTAGCTAAAAAGTTTGAACAGAAAAAAAAAAGAAGGTTTGAACAGCACTTGGTAGGACAAATACCTCAATTGTTAAATATATCAAAATACTAAACCTTGCTACTGTTATTTTATATCCTGTAATTCAGCTTTATTTTAATAATCACTAATCAAAATCCCACAGTACTTCTAAGTTCCGGACATATGAAACAATAAAAAAAACACAATCAGAGATTCCAACTAGTAGGACTTTTAGTCGGCATTGGTAGGTTTTGTAGTGAGTCCAAATCCGAATGGAAAGAGGGGGTCGTAATGTGAATCACCAACATTCATTGGGAGCTGATCAACAGTCTTGAACCAAGTCCGTGCAAGCTTGCCGGTGAAACCATGGTCCCCAAATAAAACATCTGCAACACCTTGACCTTCAGTTCCGGGAAGCCAAGCAGCTACAAGTGCTTCAATTGTGGAAAGATAAGGTTGAATAACAACAGGACGGCCGGAGATGATGATGACAACACATTTCATAGCTCCACAGACATTTTTTATGGTGCTCGGACCGGGTTCAGGAATTGTCAAATTCAAGTTGTCACCGCTATACTCTGCATATGGATGCTCTCCTACTACAACAATGGCATAGGAGAATTTGTTGGATTTGACAAAATCAGCGTCAGGTTTCTCTTGGTAGACAACTTCGGTTTTCTTGTCAACACTATTTTTTATAGCAGTAAGAATTGTGGTACCTGTAAATGATCGAATGGGTCATATATACATGATTTTGGAAGAGCAGAAAACTCTACTAGACACTAATACAAGCACTTGTAAGTGTGGATATCATCAAATAATTGGAACCTCCTTGGCAAAAACATTTTGTAAAAAAATTGAATGTGTGCGATGACAAAATATAAAGTAGGAACTCAAGCGGAAAATGAAGGGATGATTGGAAATGTACCGGGTGTGATATTGCCACTTAGTCCTTGCCATTCAAGTGTCCACCCACCACACTGATAACCCATATTGTCTGCATGGCTTCCAGCTACGAGTATTTTTGATGCCTTCTTAGGAAGGGGTAACAATGGCTTGTCAGTAGATTCACCATTTTTCAGCAGCACCAGAGATCTTCTCACTGCCTCCCTTGCCAGTTCTCTATGCTCCTGTTCAAGTTACAGAGTAATTATAAGAAGAAGATGGTTTTTTTTTATTTTTATTTTTTATTTTTTTATTTTTCATCTTGCACAAATAGGCTCTAAAGATTTCCAATTAAGAAGACCAACCTGGCTTCCTATGTAGTTGACCAAGCTATAATCAGCCAATGGGTTCTCAAATAAGCCCATCACAAACTTCACCCGCAAAATCCTCTTAACTGAATCATCAATTCGGCTCATGGGAATGATGTTATTCTTCACCTGGAAGGTTAAACCATCAATGAATTCTGTATAGTTGTAGCCAATCATGACCTGCAGCATATATGTCCATAACATGAGTACACGGTCATAAATTAGCTAGAATAGTTTGAACTGTGAAATTGAATGTCATTAAGGAAGAAAGCCCACTTATTATGGCTCACCATGTCAATGCCAGCATTAACCGCAACATCAATGGAATATGAGTAGTTAGCATGCGGTGGAGTAGTGATCCTATCTAGTCCCTGCCAATCTGATATTACAAAACCCTGAAATAGTTCACCGTTTCATTCTTCATTACTCATCAGTTGCTTCATACCACAGGATAAGAAACAAAAGTTAAATTTAAATATAAAAAACGATTTACCCTGAAATTTAAAGTGTTCTTAAGGAAGCCAGTGACCAGGTCACGATTGGTATGCATTTTTATTGAATTCCAACTGGAGTAGGAGACCATAACTGTTGCCACTCCCTTAATAATCGAGTTGTAGTAAGCTGGCATGTGGATGCTTAACAAATCATGCTTGTTTATTACAGTGTTGTTCTCATCAATGCCTTTGGTTGTTCCACCATCACCCACAAAGTGCTTAGCACATGCCGCAACCTTTGTTCTGTAAATTGAATTGGGGAACTATTTATAAGCCAGGTCTTCAAGAAACTCACACAGAGAGTAATGCAAAGTGCAAACCTATGGTCCTATACATTGCCTTATAAGTTCTGCTATGCGTATTAAAATATTAAAAAGCAGCCAACTAAACCCCGTGCTTAATTCCATTAATTATACTTCCATATCTTCTAGCTTGATGACACCTAACTGTCACATACATATATAGCAGGTACATATATTATTCAGTTTTTGCAATTTACAGAAGGATGATTTTGCTAATAATTGCATTCATTGATCCTGATTGCCTATCACTAGTTATATATGCCCATAATGAAGAAACTCGAAAGTAGTTACTGATTTACAAAAAGTATTCTTACTTGCCAGCGAGAAAGGGAACACCCTTTCGAGAATTTGCAGGAATATCTCCTTGGAATCCTGGTATGATCTCGGTCATTGCTTGAACAATGTTGTGGTCTTCACTGAAGCTTTCATAACACCGACCCCATCTTGGATCTCTGCATACCTGTACATACACAAAATTAACAAACTTACAAATAAAGATAAGTACCATCATGATACAAATTAAACATCTTCTTGATCCAACAGCATTTAGATATTGGATTTGAAATAGTACCGCAATACATGGTGCAAAAACATAAGGAATGCCTGTAGCTCTAACTTCAAGAGCAGTCGCAGCTCCAATTTTCTTTACAAGTTCAGGGTCCCTGCTTGACAAAAAAGAAGTGAATCATGGTTGTTAGACAGAGAAGATGGTCTGATCAAATATAGGATTGACTATTTTCACTGTTTCTCGGGGTTCTGATGTTCAAGCCACTAACGGTTTGAAATGTTGAAATTTTATGTTCTCAACCCCTTCTCCTTGCACATTTGAGAATTGCAGTAAAGCTCCTAGTGAACACTCCTCACCATTTCATTTGGGTAAACCTATTTTCATCTTTTAGCAACATTTTTTTAAAGTAACTTACTATTCTGCTTGTTCAACCATTTTACAGATTCATCCTATTTTTTCCATAACGTTTGAATTCAACGTTGATATTGTTCTTTCGTGAAGGTTTACAACTTTCCCCTTCATAGTACATTTTTGCTTAATGCTCTTTCACTTGCCTGGTAACTCCAAGTCCAATATTGTGGGGAAAAATTGTTGCCCCGTAAAAGTTATGGTGGCCATGAACAGCATCAATCCCATAAATCATTGGGATCCCGAGACGAGTAGACAAAGAACCCTTTTGAAAATCATTCACCATGTTCACCCAAGTCTCAGCAGACGCCTGTTTGGCTGGAACACTCCCAGGTCCACTCAATAGACTCCCTGAGCAAATACAAAAAATTACAATAAAATATCTTATAGAACCACATATAACACAATTCATTAGACAGAAAAGAAGTAACGTTATTGATGTGTTACCAATAAAGTATTTCTTCATGATGTCAGCCGTTATATTAGTCCGGTCAATCTGCACCATTTGGCCAATCTTTTCCTCTAATGTCATCCGACTCATCAGGTCCTTGATTCGAACATTCAGTGGCTGCTTAGGATCTTTATATTTCATATATTCTTGGGCTTCTGCAACGGTTGCCCACCAACACATTACTAGAATCCCCATCAACAACATTAAAATCCTCGCCATGTTTCGTCACCAGTTGCCTTAACAAAAAAAAAAAAATGAACAGTGTGGGTTAAAGTACAAAGAATTGAGGGGTTTGTAAATACCAACCATATATTTGGACCAGGAGGTTTCGGAGCTAATGGAATGGCAACTTTTTTCTTTTCTTTCTTTTTGTGGTTCCTATTTCAATTTTCAATTAACTAGTTCATCCAACTTACGTGCTTGACTAATAAAAACTGATAGCGAATTTGTGCTGTCTTTTGCTGAATTTTTTTCACGCCTAATTGGGTCCTGCCTTGTCAGAACCATACAATTTGATCCCCATACGTTACGTGACAAGTTGAAATTCAACATCTGTTCAAATAAATGAATCAAAACGGAGTCTTAAGATTCAACCTATTTGAAAATTCAACTCTTCAACATCAAAATCCCTAGCAAAATCACGATCCTTTTCTCTCTCTCCACCAAAATCACAATCTCCATGGTTGTCCGCATTCGTCTTAAACGTCACATCCTCTCCGTCGATCGCCAGAGTGTTCATCGACATCCCCATCGATTTGATGTACCGGAACGCAAACATCACTTTTTCCGACCGTCGGAGCTTCGGATTCAGCGGACGATTTGTCAAGACCGAAATGCGGAAGGGTTAGGGTTTGGAAATGGAAGAGGCGGCGAACACCGGAGGTGGTGAAGGTCAGGTAAGGAGGTTGGGCCGCGGATATATGGAGATTTGCAGATATTTGTGGATGTATAATATATATATATATATATTACTTTTTAACAGATGTCAAACTTTCATTTATCCACGTCACCTATCATGACCAATTTGGTACTAATTAAGGAAAGGCCCAAGTGTTATAGTTTAAATAAGGGCCCAATCCACTCCTAAACTGAGAAATTATTAAATAATTTTGTATATTGTGGTGGCATTTTCTTAATCAAAGTCCGTAATTAAATTCAGTAAATGAATCACCATATTGAAGAATAATAATATATAAACTATTAAATCAATTTATCATCGAGAATTGAATAGTATAATATAGAAAGATATTTTATCTATACCAAATTCAAAATTTGATTCATGAATTTTTTTTTATTTATCTATTTTATCATTTTGGATCAAACTAAATTACTAAGTGTCCATGTAATAATTTTTCCTACAAAAGGAAACACAAGAAAGGAGATAACAATATGAAAGACAATATTGTTATCTATACCAAATCCAAAGTTTGATTCATGAATTTTTTTTTTTATTTTTTATTTTTTATTTTATCTATTTTATCATTTCGGACAAAACTAAATTGCTAGGTGTCCATGTAATAATTTTTCCTACAAAAGGAAACACAATAAAGGAGATAACAATATGAAAGACAATATTGTTATCTATACCAAATCCAAAATTTGATTCATGATTTTTTTTTTTTTAATCTATTTTATCATTTTGGATAAAATTAAATTACTAAGTGTCCATGTAATAATTTTTCCTACAAAAGGAAACACAAGAAAGGAGATAACAATATGAAAGACAATATTTTAAAGAATGAACTAAAAATGGAGTAGTAATAATCTGAAATGCATTGTTCACCAAATGAACAACCATACTAGAAAGAGAAAATTTAAGAAAAGTATCATCATCTCATCTATATTAATATATTATCATGAACCTCTCTCAATCTGAATGGGTATTTTGTAGTTGATAGTTCATTATCCTTCACTTCAGCAAAGAAAAGACTCAAATGATTAAAAGAGTTAAGACTACATATTACAGAGGGCAGATCAAGTATATATCTAACAAAAAAAAAAGACTGAACCCAAAAACAGAAAAACTAATATCATCTAGGCATTTGAATCCATGGTTAAAAAAGATTAAAACATTAATGATATTAATTCATGCTTAATGATTCATGACTGTATAAACTAGCTTTTAAAACAAATTAGATAGGAAATGGGCTATGGGGCGACTTACTGAGTGTGATCCAGAAACACTGTAGCCTCTGCTATGGTGTCAATATATAGAGAGAGAGAATTTGTGTGTGTGTGTGTGTTTTTCTCTACTTCTGGCAGTGTGCGATGGATAGAGCCTAGAGGTGGTACTTAAAGAAATGAAATGTTGTTTTCTTTATTTATTTTTTATTCCTTTTGGTTGATTTTTCTCTGTCTCTATTTGGAAAAAAAAAACTGTCAAAGGAGTGCAAAGTTTGTGTGGCCACAATTTGATTGGGCCACATCAGTTTTACAAACTCTGCTTACTTAATATTAAAAAAATTAAAAATAAAAATGTGTGGACCTGGACTTTGGGGGAACAAAAAAACTAATGACTTCGATTAGTCACTCGAAAAAAAAAAAAAAAAAAAAAATTTAAAGAACTCAAGAAAATAGAAAAGCTAATTTAAGATAATTATAAAAGACAGCTATCATAAAATAGAATATTTTTATAGAAAAATGACCCAAGTAGGCCCTAAATTTTTTTTTTCTTTTAGATTTTTGGCTTTTCTGATTGAATCGTCATAGAATTTTTTAATGTCTTACAACTTGTACCTTCTTTTTTGGACAAATTACACTGACATTTCCTCTTCACTTTCAAAAATAACACTGTCTTGTCAGAATAATATTGAATTCCTCCGCTATAAATGAAATATCTTGTCTAAAAAAAATTTGAAAACTCAATTTTGACTTTAGAACGCTTGAAAAGACATTTCAGTCCATATGTTATAATAATAGAAGTATATTGAATATAATTGTCATTTTTTGTTTGAGTAAACTACAAAGAGACCCTCTGAGGTTTGAGGAAAGAACAGACAGATGAAAATTGGCTTGTTTTTGGACAAACACACCCCCTTGTGAAATTTGCCCTCCAAACAGAGCCTTAAATCAAGTGAAAAGTCCATTTTACCCTTCACTATTTTATTAATTTTAATTATAAAATATTTAAAACTTAAATAGCCAAAATACCCTTTTCATATATACTTATATATACACACACACACACACACACACAACCAGTCACCACCGCCCCCAATCTCCACCAACCCCCAACCTCCATAATCACCACCCACTAAAGAAGACGCCAAAAAGGAGCTCTGCCACTGCCACCTCCTCGACCTCGCCGGAGCTCAGCCTCGGTTCGGGCGGCGAACTCGGCCTTGGACAAGCCGGGTTTGACCGGGATTGACAGAGACGTTCCCCACGCCGGCGTCTTTCATTCTTGACAGCGGTAGAGAGTTGATGTTTGAGCTTGCAGGGAAGATTTGAGGTTGAGATCGGTGCCGCCGCCGCCGCCACCCTCTTCCCCTCTCTCATACATACGCACACACACACACACATATATATCACCCCCTCATCTGTGCACATCACCATCCCCAATTCTCACCTTCGCACGGAAAAAGGGCTCTAATTGGACTCAAAACGGACGGCAGAAGCGATGGCCACTTCAGCCTCCTCGGCCTTGCAGGTGACGGTCGCCGGACTGTGCTTATCTGAACCTTGTCTTCATCGGAGCTTGGTCCTCGCCGGATTGTTTTTGCTCGTCGATCTCTTGTTGCTCGGTTTCTAAACTTCGCCACACTATTCAGTCCATGGCCGTATCGTCATTGGAGTTTGGTCCTCGCCGGCAATTTTAGGGTTTCGCCGATGCTTCTGGGTTTCGCCGCCACTGTCACAGTCATCACCGCCACCCCCACTGTCGCAGTCATTGCCGATGCTTCTTCCTCTCTCTTCTCTTCACCTCATCTCTTCAACTATGGCCGCCCCTCTCTTCCCCCTCTCTCTACACCCACCACCGCGGCCACAACCACCATCCATCTGATCTCCCTTCTCTCTCCTCTGGTGAACTGTATAATATACGTAGGCGGGTTCGGGTTCGGGTTTGGTTTCGGTTTGGGTTTAATCAAATGGTATTTAAGTCAATTAAAATGTTAATTTTATTTGAAAGGGTAATAAGGTCAATTCATCATCTTCAGGGTCTCTTTGTCCATTTTTCAAACTTGAAGGGGTGTCATTGTCCAAAAACATGCTAACTTTCCTCTACTTGTCCTTTCCCCAAACCTCGGGGGGTGTCAATGTACTTTACCCTTTTTGTTTTTAATAAAATGACAACACTGGTAGGAGAGGTACATTGTTATTTTTAAAGTCTTGTTATTTAAATATTTTATTTAAAAAAATTAGTATAATTAATATTCTTATTTATATCAAAAGTTCATGTAAATGTGCACACACTGTACTATCCCCCAATAAAATTCAAACAATTTCACCTTGAGATTAATGGCCATTGGTGTTTATAGCTAGATATTACTTTTCATACAAATTACTAAAGAAAATGCAACCCTGTTATGTATGACAGTATGAGGTTTTTAAGAGCCTTTCCCACACAAATATTCAAACACACACGTGAACATTTGATGAAATTGTATAAAGATCCAAAATCGAATGAAATAAATCAAATGTTTTGGTCAAACTTTATATATATATATTATATATATATATATATTTCACTTAACCAAGTTTGACCAAATCAAATCATCAATTTTTATCATGCATAATTATATTCTTAGATACTTTGATATACATAGTGAAAAATAAATTATCTACTCCATCCGACTAGTTCTGGGTTCGAATCCCGGATAACCCATTGTCATATCAAAATCATATAGATATAAATCCGTATTCTATTTTTGCAGTCTATTTCATTCATTTTAAAAAAAAAATTATACCTAAACAATGTTTAGATCCTGCTCTATCCAAATTTTTCTAGTTCACCCTAACATTTCTCACTTGTTCGACTGTTACTGAGCAGTTTTTGAATATCAAACGGACCTCTCCAGAAGGTAATTTTAATGTGACCAATTTCCCTTCTTTTGCAATCAGTTTCGCTGGAGTGATGACTTTTCTCTACTATTTTTTTAGTTTCCCTTTCTTTTGAGGAGCCATTGACTAGCTGGAGAAAGCCCGGGCTTGTTTGTGGAAAGTGGAAATGGAAGCAAATTAGTTTCGCGTGAATGGATACCATGAGATAGGGTGAGAAAAATTGAATTTGATTAATTCAACTTATAAGACTTTAGAACAATTAGAAAATTACAAAAATGAAACCATTAATTTTGAACAACAAAGGGCAATTAATCAAGTACGACAACGGATTTGCCAACAAGCCCGACAGGGAGAATTTATTTTAATTAACTATTTTAATATTAGGCCTACGGGAATATGACACGTTCATAACTCTCAATAATCCAAATAAACTAATGAGGTCGAATTAAATCATGTTAATAAACTTCATTTAGAACACTGAAAATGGATCACGGATCATGGTCAGAGTCAGCTTGGGCCTAGGGGTGCCCCCGGACCTATATATATAGAGTACGTAATTTATAAAATATCACTTTGTGCTCTCTGAAATATATTTCTGTTTTATTTATTTATTTTTTTAAGTTAAATTTTCAATATATAAATATGTACAAAATGACATAGGCCCAATAGGCAAAGTTAGCCCAAGGCTAAACTACAAGACATGAGAGGCCCAATTAGACCGAACCAGGGCCAAAAACCCAAACAGAGCATTGAAACACTGAAGAACATGACCGTCATAGGCCACTATTAGGCATTCCGGTGACCTTGCCTCCAAATATATTTCTTTATAAAACACCCCTGACCAGAAATTTTTTATACATATAGATCATGGTCCCAGAAAACAATAAATTTAATCCATCGTGTTGAAGCCGTTGTGACTCACATTCATGCTAAAGGCTTTATTGATGTTCCTCACCAGAAAAATTGGCAAGTGAGCTTCTTGTGGTGGTATAAAAAATAAAAAATAGATATAAATAAATAATACTATGTCGAAAAGATTAAATGTGGCCAAAAATTAATCAAAAACTAAACATTGCAACTATTATTTAATATCCAATTACTCCATTCTTACATAGTAGTAGTAATAATCACATATCTGTCAGTGGCCTAACAGTATCAGCTTCTTACTTTTTAAAGGAAAGTCAGGGGTTCAAGTCTCAGACGAAACAAGTGTGTGTAAATACTAACAAAAAATAAAAATAAAAAAATAAAATAATCACATATCAAAACCCAAAGTGTTTCTAAGCAACAACAAATAGAAACACTAAACAACTCGAAATTTTAGATTTACCAAAAACAACAACTAGGAATTTTAGTTGGTTTTAGTAGGATTGGTAGCTGGTTTTAGTAGTAGTAGGTTTTGTAGTGAGTCCAAATCCAAATCGAAAGAGGGGGTCGTAATTTGAATCCCCAAGATTCATTGGGAGTTGATCAACAGTCTTGAACCAAGTCCGCGCAAGCTTGCCGGTAAAGCCATAGTCGCCGAACAAAACATCTGCAACACCTTGACCTTCAGTTCCCGGAAGCCAAGCAGCTACAAGGGCTCCCATTGTGGAAAGATAAGGTTCAATAACAACAGGACGGCCGGAGATGAGGACGACAACACATTTCATAGCTCCACACACATTTTTTATAGCGCTTAGGCCGTTGTCCGGGATTGTCAATTCTAAGTTGTCACCGTCTGTCTCTGCATATGGGGGCTCTCCCACTACAACAATGGCATGGGAGAATTTGTTCGACTTCACAAATTCAGCATCAGGGTTCTCTTCGTATACAATTTCGGTTTCCTTGTCAACAGTGTTTTTTATAGCTTCAAGGATTGTGGTACCTGCACATCAACATATATATGTATATATAGGTCATTTGTCAATTTTTATGACTTAAAGAAGTAGAAAATGAAAGGATAATCGGAGATATATGTACCAATTGTGCCCTTGCCACTAAAGCCATTCCAGTCAATTGTCCACCCCCCACACTGATAACCAAGATTGTCTGCATGACTTCCAGCTACCAGTATTTTCGATGCCTTTTTGGGAAGGGGTAACAATGGCTCATCACCAGATTCACCATTTTTCAGCAGCACCAGAGATTTTCTCACTGCCTCCCTTGCCAGTTCTCTATGTTCCTGTTTAAGTTACAGTGTTAAACATAGGAATATTATATATATATTTAATTCCAAATTAAAAAGACTAACCTGACTTCCTAGGTGGTGTGTCATGCTATAATCAGCCAATGGGTCCTCGAATAAACCCATCACAAACTTCACCCTCAAAATCCTCCTCACCGCATCATCAATTCGGCTCATGGGGACTATCTTCTTATTCACCAGCAAAGTTAGATCTTCAATGAATTCTTTGTACTCGTAGGGAATCATGACCTGCACCATAGCAGGTCCACAACAACATGAATACATAAATGGTCATAAATTAACTCCGAAAATACCAAAGGATCCAACAACCCCAACACCGACTGTGAGAGAGTGGGGAGGGGTGTGTGGGCTCTACAATAACGTCCTAATCATGACTCTCACCATGTCAATGCCAGCATTAACCGAAGCCTCGACCGAATATGTGTAGTTAGCACGAGGAGGAGTAGTGATCCGATCTATTCCCAACCAATCTGATATTACAAAACCCTGAAATAGTTCACCAGTTCATACATACAGCATAAGTCAAATCAGTTGCTTTTGTTCAGGGCAAAGACACGAATTGACAGACTTTAAAAATGTAAAATGTTTTTTTTTACCTTGAAATTTAAAGTGTCCTTGAGGAAGCCAGTGATAAGGTCACGGTGGGCGTGCATTTTTTTCCCATTCCAACTGGAGTAGGAGATCATAACGGTGGACACTCCCTTAATAACAGAGGTGAAGTAGGGTGGCATGTGAGTGCTGAACAAACCATGCTCGTTTATTACAGTGTTGTGCTCATTGATCCCGTTTGTTGTACCACCATCCGCCACAAAGTGCTTGGCACATGCCGCAACCTTTGTTCTGAAAATTGAAAAATGAACACAATGTTATAAATTAAGCATTTTTTTTTTTCTCTCTCTCCTGGAGAGGATGAGCACTCGAAAATAGGCACACCCGCCTCAGGGGTCTACCAATTAGATCAAATTTTGAATTTTTACTATCTGTATTTAATCCATTGCCGAAGTGGTGGCACAACTGAGCCCTCAAACAAACACAAAGTCCACCATAATGGCAAACTTAGCTATCAGCCTGAAAATAGTTCAGATAAAATTTCTTTCTGCTTCATCCTTGGCAAAAGAACGCAACTGTCACACATTCAGGGTTGCAAAAGTTGACTATATAGGCCGCCTGTTGTCACAAACAGTGTAGGACACAGATTTCATATGCAAATAAATCATTTCATTACGCAACTAATGTTTTTGGACCAATCTCCAGCCTAATAGTCACGTCTTCAAAAAAACGGACGTGAATACTTACCTAATACCACCCAAATCCAAAAGCAAACTAATCCGTACATTCTTTTTATAGCCGGAACAAAATTTCCAGATCTTCTAGCTTGATGATACCTAACTATCACATGCATATATAGCAGGTATATGCTTCAGTTTTTGCAATTTAAGGAGGGATGATTTTGTTGATTGTGTCTCACTGGGTTATGTAGAAATTATAAAGTAGTTACTAAATTAGAAAGAACTCTTACTTCCCAGTAGTAAGAAAGGGAACACCCTTATGAGAATTTGCAGGAATATCTCCTTGGAATCCCGGTATGATCTCCGTCATTTCTTGAACAATCTTGGGATCTTCACTGTAGCTTTCGTAACAACGACCCCATCTTGGATCTCTGCATACCTGTATATGCACACAATTAACTTTTAAAAATATAAAGATAACATCATAGTACAAATCAAACATCTTCACGATCCAATTTTGGATTTGAAATAGTATTTACCGCAACACATGGTGCAAAGGCATATGGAATGCCTGTAGCTCTAACTTCAAGAGCGGTCGCAGCTCCAATTTGCTTTACAAGTTCAGGGTCCCTGCTTTACAAGAAGGAAGTTAATAAGATTGAAGAAACTTGGTTTCATGGATAAATAATCTGTATTTAGTATTCCCTTTGTCTTAATTTAAATGTCTCTTCTGATTAGTAGAATTTTTAAGGGGACATGTGGGCATGCCTTGTTTTCCTGAAAAGTTACTAATTTGTCATATTAAGTTTTGAATATAAGTTTGAAATTTTAAACTCCAAGACATATATGAAAAGATGTTTTTTTTTGAGATAGAGAGAGTAGTTTTTAGTGATTTTAAGTTTTGTTTCATATATTTTTTAATGTCAATAATTTTTTTTTGATGAACGCCCTTTGACTTGCCTCGTACATCCAAGACCAACATTGTGGGGAAATATGGTTGCCTTATAAACATTGTTGTGGCCATGAACGGCATCAATCCCATAAATCATTGGGATCCCAAGACGAGTAGATAAAGAACCCTTTTGGAAATCATTCACCATGTCGACCCAAGTCTCAGCAGATGCCTCTTTGGCTGGAACACTGGCAGGACCACTCAGTATGCTCCCTGAACAAGTACAAAACAATCTTATACTACCATGTGTGTGTGCGTGTGTGTATAACAATATTTATATGACAGAAAGAATAATTAATTAATATTGTTATAGATGTGTTACCAATAAAGTATTTCTTCATGACCTCGGGCGATGAAACATTTCTCTCAATCTGCACCATTTGGCCAATCTTTTCCTCCAATGTCATCCGAATCAGCAGGTCCTTGATTCGAACATTCAATGACTGCCTAGGATCTTTATATTTCATATATTCTTCTGCTTCTGACATGCTTGCCCAACAACACATTAATACAATTCCCATCAACAACACTGAAATCCTCGCCATCTTTCGTCCCCAATTTCCTTCCTTCAGAAAGACAAAGACGGGTGTGTTAAATTACAGTTTTAGTGCCTGAAAAGTTAAGATCTTTGAGGGCTTGGGTTGATACATCGTTAGTAATTCTGCCAAAAAGGGAACACAAGAAAGAAGAAAAATATCTGAAAGACAATGCTTGAAACAATGAACTGAAAATTCATGAACATACATTATTTGCATTCACATTAAAAAAACCTGATTAAAATACGATAGGTACTCTTTGAAAAAAGAAAAAAAAAAAAAAAAAATGTACAATTAAGATTCAACAAGTAGGCCACACAAAACCTGATTAATATTCAGGCCTAGCATTTCGATAAATGTTATACATTGCTGTTAAATGCTATATAGAGGGATGATGATACTTAAGTCCACATGGGTCGCTCTCTATAGCTAAGCCTCAAATATTTCCACCATTAAATTATAGAAAGGGATGATGATACTTGGGTCCACATGGGTCCCTCTCTATAACGAAACCTCAAATATCTCAATCGCATTTGAATCCATGGTCATAAAATATTACAACATTAATAATTCTAATTCAGACTTAATAATTCGTGACTTGACAGGCTTATAAGCAAATTAAAGATAAAATGAGATATGGGGGACTTACTGAGTATGATCCAGAAAAACTGTAGCTGTGTATATATATATATTTAGAGAGAATATTTTGAGAGAGAGAAAGAGAAAGAGAGAGAGAGAGAGAGATTTTCTCTAGCTTTGAAGGTGGATACAGGACGATTTGGAAGAGTATGATGGAGGCGGTATTTAAAAGAAAATGTAAATGACACAATTGACACGTAAGCAACCAAAAGGGTTAACGCTTTACCCTTTATTGCTCCCACACGCCTAATGTGCGCTGAAGTGGGTTCAGTAGTTCACGATTACTATTTCCGGAGGATTACCCTTACGCTTTATTGGCCCCCACACGCGTAATAATGTGCCGAAGTGGGGGTTAGTCATTAGTGGGTTCACGATTACTATTTCCAAGGAGCCTTGCTCACGATGTTTTTTCACTCCTCCAAGGTTTCCAATTCAAACTTTTGTCCTCCGTCCAATTCTTATTCAGTGTCATGGATGTCTCTCTTTTTAAAATCTCGATAATATTTAGATATTATTTTTTCTTTCTATAAAAAAGTTATATTTATTTACTTTTTACTCTCCCTCAGTGATCCATATTGAAAGAGTAATTTAATTAAATAAAAAAAAATTAATATGTAAGTATATATTTAGGTTTGGAAATTTTAATAAGTTCAAAATATATTTAAAGAAAAACACATTTTAATTTTATTTAATTAAATTAAATAAATGACACGAAGTGGGGGTTAGTCATTAGTGGGTTCACGATTACTATTTCCAAGGAGCCTTGCTCACGATGTTTTTTCACTCCTCCAAGGTTTCCAATTCAAACTTTTGTCCTCCGTCCAATTCTTATTCAGTGTCATGGATGTCTCTCTTTTTAAAATCTCGATAATATTTAGATATTATTTTTTCTTTCTATAAAAAAGTTATATTTATTTACTTTTTACTCTCCCTCAGTGATCCATATTGAAAGAGTAATTTAATTAAATAAAAAAAAATTAATATGTAAGTATATATTTAGGTTTGGAAATTTTAATAAGTTCAAAATATATTTAAAGAAAAACACATTTTAATTTTTTTTGGAAAGTTTAAATGGAACAAGTATATTGGAAGGGTAAAAACCAAACAATGGACAATTAAACGGTATTTGTTTTTGGTTGATTAATTTTGGTGATCCGAACAAATCCATCGTGTCATTGTCATTGTTACATGGTCGCTTTTTAGGAATAAAAATTTATCCTCTTTAAATATAGATATGTATAATTTACTAATACATCATATAACAGTAATGGCTATATAATAGGAAATAATCCATATGGCCAACCTTATCTATATACCATATAAGATGGCGTTGCTAATTAATAATGGGATTATACTAGTAATATTTATACCTAAATTAATAAAAAATGCACAACAATTACAAAAAGTCAGGAATAGTAAGTAAACCCTAAAATTTTGTAAGTCCTAAAATATCATAGAATAATCCTAACTCTAAATCCAAACTATGGGCCCTTAAATATCTAGGCTTTTACAGTCAAACCTTCAAGCCTAATTTGAACTAGTCGCATTTTTTTAAATCCCAAAACAAACTCAAATTACATAATTATATGATTGTATTGTGTATGAACATTTGTGTATGTAATGTAGTTGCTACTATGATTAGTCTCGAACTTCAAAAAAAAATAAAATAAAATAATTGGAAAGAGTGAAAAAATTGGATTTGATAATCATAGAAATGAAACTTCAAAATGGATAAGAACACAGAAATTAAAGGAAAGAGTGAAAAAATTGGATTTGATAATCATATATATAATGTGGACGGGGCTGAGTTGTAGACGATTATCTTCTCTTCGATTTCTTCCCATTCCAATTAAAACCTTATCCAACCAAACGATGAAAACCTGTCAATTTCATCAAAATAAGAAACAGCATCTTAAGGTACGAGTACGACAATAAAAGTCGAGCATGTAAAGTTAAATAAATTAGCTGTCATTATAGAAATGGAAATGGAATTGGAATCTGTCTTTTCATTGATAAGCTGTATTGATGTGAACATTCAAACATCAAAAACAACCTTCGTTACTTCAACTTATCAAGAAGAATAAGAAAAGAAAGAAATATATATAATAAAAAAAAAATACAAGCAAAGTGCATATAAAATCACAAATTAATTACAATGATACCTCCTGAAATTTATCGTATTGATAGAGATTGGTTATTTTTTGAACACTTATACCCGTGTCAGAAATTTAAGCCAAACAAGTCTTTAAAGTCTGTGAAAAGATAAGATTGCCCTTCAATAAAATATCAATTATTAATTTAAAATATTTTTAAAAATTATATGACATAATTACCCTTTTAAAATACGGAGTAATGGATTTCTCTCTACCCTCTGCTCCAAAAAAAATCCAAAAAATTTTGTTCTTCACCAATCCCCTTTTACACACACACACCCCAATCCATCTTTGTCAAGCTCTTCACCAACACTCCCGAATTGGTGATGCGATGGTGGTGGGGTTATGATGTGGTGGCGGCGGGTGTGGCAGGGTTGTGGAGTGGTGGTGGGGCTGTGATGTGGTGGTGGTGGTGGGTGTGGCAGGGCTGTGGAGTGGTGGCAGGGCTGTGAAATGGTGGTGGCGGGACTGTAAGGTGGTGGTTGCGGGGTTGTGATGTGGTGGTGGTGGTGGTGGGGCTATGATGCGGTGGGTGTGGGTAAGAGGAGATGATATATATATACACACGTATATGTATTCGATGTATGTATATGGTTGTAGTGATGTGGCAAGTTTGGTTAATTAAAATTAGTTAGAAGGTTAACTTTGTAATTTCAAAATCTCAATAATTTAATTGACAAGTCAAAGGGTAAATTAGTCATTTTTTTATGTGTCACGGTATAAATGGTATTAGGGGGTGTTTTGTTAACTTTATCAAATTTCAGGAGTTTCATTATTCAAAAAAATATTAATGGTATTAGGGGGTGTTTTGTTAACTTTATTAAATTTCAGGGATTTCATTATTCAAAAAAATGTTAATTTATATATGTCTGTTAATACGATAGACCTCAGGGGTATTAACCCTAAAATCATTTTAATAGGATTTAATTTTTTTAGTTGACTATTAAAGATAAGTGACAAAAAAAACTACTAGCAAAGTGCATATAAAATTATTTTAATAGGATTTAATTTTTTTAATTGACTATTAAAGATAAGTGAAAAAAAAAAACTACTAGCAAAGTGCATATAAAATTATTTTAATAGGATTTAATTTTTTTTAGTTGACTATTAAAGATAAGTAACAAAAAAAACTACTAGCAAAGTGCATATAAAATCATTTTAATAGGATTTCATTTTTTTAGTTGACTATTAAAGATAAGTGACAAAAAAAAAAAAAAAAAAAAACTACTTTATCGGTTCAAAAAATATATATATATATATATAATTTTTTTAAAAAATAAATTCTATTAATAGTGAATGAATTATTATATTTATTTTTAATAGGTTTACACTCACAGTTATAGTTATGTGAATGTTTATTTTTTTACAAATATAATGTAATAAGGTTAAATTAATAATATTAATATATATATATATATAGTTCATTCACTTTTTAAATGTGATACTTATTTGAACAGGATAAAGATAATTAGATGAATTCTTATTTTGGGCCAGCCGTAGTAAAGTTGCCTAACTTTTGCATTTTCAATAAATATTTTGTATTGGAAAGGGCGGTGACAAATGGACCCTGTCCTTTTGTTGTTAGGATAAGTTGATGTGAAATGACCGCAGAGCATTCAAACTATCAAACATCAAACAAAACAAAAGGTTCTAGCAAATTGCATATAAAATCATTTTAACAGGATTTAATTTTTGGATAATGTTTGATCTTGTCTTATGAGGACAATTTTGGTTCGGCAAATTGAGTTTCACATCTCTTTTCAATATTAAAAAATATAAAACATGAATTATATTAATTTATTTAGGATTAGACCCGTTTTGTTTCTCTCTCCTCTTATCGGCAAATATTTTCTTTCCTTTTTTGTTTTTCTCATATCATGCTCAGATCCTTATTTTACATTGTGGTCTCCATTCATAAATCTGAACTTTAGAAAGCAATTCATTGATTTCAGACAGTGTTCTGCTCTTAGCAATCATTGATTCACATTTTTGAAACTAGTATGTTCAAACATTATATTTTGTAATACAAATTATTTTTTCTTCTTTCAAAGGGCTTAAAATCAAGTATGGGTATTGTTGAATTTTTGTTCAAAATGATAATTGAAACTCTAGACCCTTATTTTTTTCTTCTTTCTCATTATTATTGTTGTATAATGTTTGTAGGAATCTATGAAATATTACCGAAGCCTTCCACAAAGCGCAGAAGAAAGCAACAAGTTGTGTCAAGATAACTTGTTGGGATAAAATTTGCTCAAGTGTTAGTGTCATTATGAAGATAACTTATTTCAATCATATAAATATTTTTACTCTATTGATTTGCTGCAATTTTAGGCGTAAGTTTTGGTTTATTGGGCTTTGCTTATGTGGTTAGGGCAAGATATTGGAAGATGGGAGCATCTCATAGAAACAAAAAAGAAAAGGAGACAACATACACACATGAGAGGAAAGAGAAACAAAATGGGTCTAGTCTAAAGTAAATGGATATAGTCCATGCTTTATTATATTTTTTAATGTTAAAGAAAGGTGTTAGCTTTTTATTGGCCCAATTCAACTTGCAGGATAAAAATTGTCCTGATAAAGCAGGATCTAAGTATTATCCTTAAATTTTTTAGCTTACCAATTATTATTATTATTATTGTTATTATTATTATTTTGTCATTATTTTGGCTTACCATGTAGTTATACATTTGTAATAAATTTTCATTTTAAATTATTTTATTTTCATTCTATTATATATATAATTTTAATTTTCACATGAAGTTTTACATTGAATTTTTTTTTATATATTAATTACATTTTTCAAAATTTTAAGTTTACAAATAATTTTTCAGATTTTGTAAAAGTGATGTTCAATATTCATTTGGTTAAATTTATTCCATACCCACTGCATTAAATTGGTATTTCAAAAACACAAAACTATACTTTATTTAATAATCTTCACAACCATTATTATATTTTTACCTCTTCCTCATTATGCTTCCGTTGATGCTATATTCGTATAAGAGTAGTAATGTTTAGATCACAGTGTCATAAAGAGTTATTTGATCGAGATCTTTTGATTGGTCATATTTAACAAATAAAAAAAAAGGTCAAATGTAGAAAATAGTTTTAAAATATGCTTATTGTACATATTGACGTACAAAAAATATTGGAGGATGTCCCCCTCATGCAACCCTCATGCAACAAAACACTCTTAAAATTTTAATTGATGCAAATAAGTTCATCTGATAAATTTAAATTTTAAGTTGACTAAATTACCCTTATTAAATTATTTTATAAAATATATAAAAATAAATAATTTTATAAAATGATCGAAAATGACACTATTGAATTTTTGCAAATTCTGAAAACTAGTGCACACTGATATTGAAAAAAAAAAAAAATGGTTTAACCTTGTTGGCAAGAAAAAAAATAAAATAAAGAAATAAAAAATAAAAAATAGTAAACTGAAATCTCAAAAAATTCAAATCCTTATTTTACAAATTTTCAAAGTTTATATATATATATATTTAGAGATATATATCTCTAAATTTAAAAAGAAATTAAATATATATATATATAATGTGCACAAACACTTATACTATGAGATTAGTATCATATATAACCTCTTGGGCATTTTCAGAAGAATAAAAGGACAAATTTACAACACAAATTTATGTAGAGAGTAAAAAAAGTGAGATCTCGCAACAATGGGATCTCTACTTTTTTTTATATGGACTCCTAAATTAATGTAAAAATACCCCTAGTAAGAATATACAACATACTCTATGCTAATGTGAACCAATAATAAATATACGTGTGATCTTTAATTACTAAATTAAATATGGAATGGTAGATATTCACTTACCAAATCAGAGCCATCTATGACTTGGTTATTAAAATAGGACGTGTCCATTTATTATTGATCCACATCAGTAGAATCAATAATAATAAATAGACATGTGATATTTAATTACCAAATCTAATATGGTAGGGTAAACATTCACTTACCAAATTAAAAATGGTGATTTCAGTACCATCTATAATTTGATTATTAAAATAGGATGTGTTCATTTATTATTGATTTATATCAGTGAGTATGTTGTAAATTTTCACTAGCTAGGACCTGAATATTATCCCAATAATAAAATCTAATCGCAACTAAAAATACGGGTATGTGAGGTTTCGTTGTTAAATTGTTGATGATTGATGAACCAAATTCTTAGAGAAAAAAAAATGATTTTCCATATATACAAGATGGCTCACAAGGAAACAAAATTTAGGTGAAGCACATGCATCATTTTTGTACTTACCGGGAAAAGAAAAAGAAAGGCAAAAGTGCAAAAAAACCTCTGAACTATTCAGTTTTTTGCAAATACCCTTCTATAGTACCAAAGTGTGCAAATACCCCCCTGAGACTCACCGGATCAACTTTTCCGGCATATGTTGATTTAAAATGACCGAAATAACCCTACTTATTACATTATATATATATAAAAAAACCTAATTATAAAATACCAATTATACCCCCATTGGATGACGTTAAGAAGAGTACCAAAAAAGCCATTCCTTGACCTCATCGTTAGATTCTCTTTTTTTCACTTAAACATATATATATATATATATATATATATATATATATATATATCAATATCATTCCCCGGACAGTGTAAGAATCGGATGGCGGATCTTCTACAGCCACCGGAGGGTCAGATTAACAGCGGAACTAATTTGATGGTGACTTCATAAGAGAACGTTGGTACGAAACAGCAGCGAAGGCCGAGTGTCTTCGATTGGGGGACATCGGTGATCACCAGTACGATTCGCACGTCAATTGAAGAAGCAAGCAATGGAAGCTTCCGATGAAGGAGTCCGGGAAGGCTTCAAAGACACGAGCATTGATGAATTTAAGCGGTAGCGGCGGTGGAGGAGGAGGAGGAGACTATCATGAAAACCTTCTAAACGACGAAGACAGAGAGGGCAATCTGAAATTGTTGGTGGCAGCCATTAAATCCGCCAGCTTAAGTTTCACAAGCGGTTTCTGGAACACCAAAACCTGAACAAGCTTGTACGCCCTCAATTTCTCAATCCAACTATATCATCATCCCCTCTTTCAATCCAATAGTAACCATTCTTGGCTCCTCCAATTCAACTTCTTAAAGCACCACCGCCCCAACCCAAACCCTAGCAACATCCACACCCCGGCACCAAAAACACCCACTGTAATTCTAATTGCGAGATTCTTATTACTCAAACCACCACTCTCCCCAATTGGATTCCTACAAAGTCCACTATTCCTAGCAAAATCCCTCGCATCAAAATCTTCAAAATTCATCGGAATTGTGCTGGAAAGATCATTGTTTGCAACAGAAACTTCTTTCCAAATTTGATAATTTGAATCGTCAGTGAGATTGTTACCGAAGAGATCGAGAGATTGCAAGTTATGACAGTAGTGTAGAGACTCCGAAATTTCGCCAGTGAGATGCATACCGTGAAGCCCGAGGCTGAAGAGACGGTTTTCAAAATCGTTCCAGCATGAAACTCCGACGAATTCACACAGAAAGCGAATTGAACTGTTGGTGAAAGTCCATGAATTGAGCTTGCCATGAGGGTCAGTGAAAGAGTTCTTCACACCTTGTAAGCACTTCACACCGTCTTTGGGGATGGAAACAAAGACAAAACAGAGAAATGCAATGGAAATATAGCTGAATAATCCGTAAAATTTCATGAGATTGTTGTTGATTAGAGGTGTGAGATTGAACTGTTGGTGCCATGAGTCTCACAGGCAAGTTTTATAATTAACTCTATCCCTTTGACTTGTGTTCTTTGCATCTCTGACTCAATTCCAGGAACGGATAAAGATCTAAAATCAATCTAGTTTGCATGCTTGCATTGTTTAATAAACATTTGTTCATAAACTGTTAAATTGTTTGTTTTGCAGTTTTGTTTGTTTTACAATTTTGTGTTACATAATTCATGAGGTAAGTGATGCCAATTGATGGATTAAGAGTCTTATTAGTTCTAAAACATATTGGGAAATCTTAAAATTAATTCGGATCGCAAGGCTAAATACTTGAAACAGAATGTGTTCTTGTATGGGTTTTAATCCGTTTTAAAACTGTTTTTACTTGATTCTTGTTCCAATTGATTTTGATTAATAAGTAATGAATTTAATTAACTCTGGAAAACACTAGGGTTTAGTTTTAATCAGTAAGGAACTTGGTTTGGAGGATCAACATAGCCGGACACCGCCGAAGTTAGAAAAGATGACGCACAGGGGAGGAGCCTGCTCTATTTCAAGAAGAGCAGGCTCACCAAAGAGTAGAGCCGGCTCTTTGGGCTCTAGAGGCGGCTCCACCTTGTGTAGAGCTGGCTCTACTAAGTGGTGGAGGCGGCTCCACTTTGTGTAGAGCAGGCTCTTTGGTTTGTAACGTTACCGATTTTTTTCTATTTTCTAAATTCTGGAATTTATTTGATTTCTCTGGATTATTTTAATCCTTGCCTCGTTTTGCGTGCCAGGCAGGCCCCGAGGGGCGTTTTGGTCAATTGTTGAGCCGAGGGTTTTAGAAGTGTATTTTTAGTCATTTTAAGTCAATTAGAAGCGACGGTGTCATTTTTAGAATTTTTGGAGGTCGGCACGATTCCCGGACTCGGGAACTTCTCCTAGTTTTCTCACCTTAAGTGAGGGGCGTTTTCGGCATTTCATATGTGTATGTGCATATTTATACATATATGTATGTTGTATTAGTGGTATCTTATGGAAGGAGGTATTTTATGGCAAGGTTGAAGTTACAAAGAAGTTCAAGGGGCATTGTTATCATTTTGACTCATGGAATAGCCTAGAGAATTCTAGAGACAATGAGGTGTCTCCTTTTGGCCCATTTCTTTCTTTCTTCCCCTCATTTTCGGACCAACCCATAAGCTATCTTCCTCTATTTTCTTCTTTCTCTCTCTATATCTTTCTTCCTTCCCCTCTAAAATTTGTTCATACTAGAAAGGATTTGGTTTAAGCCATTATTGGCAAATCGTAGACCATTGCAAGGGCTACATCTTGGTACCGATGTTGCAAGCTTTGGGAGGGATTTGAGTTGGGAGCTTGGAGCTTGGAGCTTAAGTTTCTATCTTGAGGTAGGGGGGAGTCTAACTCACAAATTCCTTTGGTTTTAGTGAGTTTCTATATGCCTCCTTGCCTGATAATTTTAAGGTTGTGAAGCATGCTTATTTTTTAAAAAAATTTTGGTTAAGATGTTAAGCATGGATTGTGATGATTTAATTGTTGAAGGATGAGAAAATAATGGTTTCTTGTATTTGTGCCAAGCATGCTACTTTTTTATGAGAAAATGTGAAAGTATAATCTATGTTATCAATTTGTATGTTTGGATGTTTGATATGATAACTTAAATGTAAATTATGAATTTCATGAATGTTGAAATGATTTAATCCCATGATCCCTTTTCTTTGAATCCTATTCTTTGGTTGTGGCTCACAGGATTTTTAGGAATGTGATTTAGGCTTTACTCTACTGAGCTGTTGAGCTCACCCTATCAATATTAACATTTTTCAGGGACTTGGAGATGAGCCGGTAATTGATGTACATCCATGGATATCAATGTGATAGGACTTCATTTTTTTTATATACCAAAGCTATGTAAATTTTGGCCATGTAGGCCTTACTCTTGTATTTAATTCTTTGTATAAAATGAAACTTTTGTAATTCGGTCTTTAAATGATGTATTGGACTTGTATTTGGGAATGCAATTAAATATAATCTCACAAAATCCTTCTTGGTGCATTTTCTTGGAACGTGTTATGTATCATTCAAAATATTTATTACCAATATTGTTATCGTATTGGGTTTTGAATTGTATATAAATACGTACACATGCAATGGTGGTAATTGGGTGATTGGTTATTAAAGTTGGTGTATATGAGACAATGGGAATTGCGAGTGTGGATAACCTAAAACCAGTGTAGCATGAACCAGTCGACGTGTAGCATGAACCAGTCGATGTATAGCATGAACCAGTCGACGTGTAGCTTGAACCAGTCGACGTGTAGCTTCCCACACATCAACCGGTATCCTGATAGTAAGTTTTTCACTGTACATGTCCCAAACCAGTCGACGTGAATACCCCACACGACCGGTATCTTGGCAGTGAGCCAATCACTGTGCTTTACCCAAACCAGTCGACGTATAATGTGTACACGTCGACCGATTCTTGTTCCATAAATTTTTTATTTGGTTTCCCTAATTATTCATTTATTTAAAGTTACGAGTATTTATTTTATGACCCAATAAAACTCAATAATTATATTTTAACCACAGAAAAGACTATATTGCCCGGACTTTATCTTAATTATTATGTGATATAAGTAAATGACTATTATACCCTTGAGGTCTCAAAATAATAGAATTGTGACGAATGACTATCTCGTCCTCATTGGACTGTTATATATAAATTTAACTTGAAAGGACCATAATACCCTTGGATGATTCTGGGTTGGGTAAGGATCTGTTTAATGATTCGGATCCAGTGGATTTGGGTCGTTACAGAATGGTATCAGAGCCTTAGGTTCGAAAACCTAAGGACGACGGGTAGGGTTGACCTAGAAGAGTTAGAATTGGGTTTGACGACATTGCATGCGTATGTGATTATTACTTTTTGGTTCAAAAACATGACTTATTGCTATATGTTTATGTGCTTACATGTTACTATGTTTAGTATAAGTCTCCGTATTCATTGTTCATTAAGTTTATTAATTGTTGAATGGAAAAGCATAATCAACTGTTAATGTTAAAGGTATATGTGCAGCTACTTATATGATTAAATTTGTCTAAAGCATGCTTGATTTGCTACATGTTTAATTGTTAATTGTTATTGTTGATGAATGAACGTTTAGTTCCTATCGAACGAATAGTGTGAGCACCGTAGCTTGTGGATTAAGCTACTTCATGTATTCTTGTTGATCGTTTAGTTGTCATTGTAGAACCGTGTTTAAAGACTACGTGAAGTGATGGACCCAAATGAAGTTGGACAGCGAACAGGTGAAGGGCCATCCCAATCAGAAAGGGTTTCGATGGGACAGGTTCAAGGAAGATAGGTGTATAATAACCCACAAGTATTGGAGGACGAAGTTCTGGTGGCAAGGGCTATAGCTTCAGCCTTTCAGAAAATTGCAAGTACCACAGTTCCTCAAGTGGTACCGCAATCGGCTATTCAGCCGCAGGAGACGGAGATGGATCAGAATTTTGAATATCTGCTTCAATTTAACAAGCTCATGAAAGTAACATTTGAAGGAGGTCCTGTGATGACCTTGTGGGCGAGAGTGCCATGGGCGGGTGCGAGAGACACTGACAGACTACCACACTGGTGAGTTACGGGTGCACAAGTCCCACATTGCCTGGGTAGAGGGAAAGGTGAATTGCTTATATGTAAGTGTGTCATCTCCAATTGGTATGAGGCCTTTTGGGGTGAAGCCTAAGAGCAAAAACCGTGCGGGCTCAGGCCCAAAGCGGACAATATCATACCATGTGGTGGAGTGGGTTGTTACAAATGGTATCAAAGCCTAACCCAGCCGGGAGTGTGCCGACGAGGATGTCGGGCCTCCAAGGGGGGTGGATTGTGATAACCTTGTGGGCGGATGTGCCGTGGGCTGGTGCGAGAGACACTGACAGGCTACCACACTGGTGAGTTACGGGTGCACTAGTCCTACATCGCCTGGGTAGAGGGAAATGTGAATTGCTTATATGTAAGTGTGTGATCTCCAATTAGTATGAGGCCTTTTGGGGTAAAGCCCAAGAGCAAAAATCGTACGGGCTTAGGCCCAAAGCGGACAATATCAAACTATGTGGTGGAGTGGGTTGTTACAGGTCCAGATCCATTGGTAGCGGACGATTGGTTGGATGAAGTTGAAAAGCATTTCAGGGCAATAACAGTGCCTGATGATCGGTTGAAGATCACCTTAGCTACATACAAGTTTGTTAGTAATGCAGCAGTATGGTGGAAAACCATGACTAACGTGCATGATATTGACAGTATGAGCTGGGATGCGTTCAAGAGTCTTTTCTTTGAAAAGTATTTCCCGCAAACTAAGAGACGAGAATTGAAGACGCAGTTCAATAGTCTCAAGCAAGGTGATATGTCAGTAACAGAGTATGAGAATAAGTTCACTTCTCTCTCACGTTTCGCTACGGATGTGTTAGGGAACGAGGAGGAGAAGACATAGCGTTTTGTGTACGGCTTAAACCGTTCTATTAGGCCGGAGTTGACACTTTTGGGGTTAAAGAATTATTCTGAAGCGGTTACGAGAGCATTAATGGTAAAAGCAGAAGCCAAGGATTGGCAAGAGATGAGTGGTACTGTGGGTTCTCAGGAACGAGGTATGAGTATGGGTACTCCTTCCAGGAGTCGGGACAGGAAGAGGCATATGGATGTTTCCTTGTTTACTCAGGAGCAGCGAACGGCAAGTGCTACTCCTATTGTTGGTGTTTCTTTAGAGGCTTCTAGGACAAGCTTAGTATGTTATCATTGTAAGCAGCCAGGACACCGCAAGGCGGAGTGTCCTCTTGATAGACCTAGTTCCGGAGTTTGCTTTCGGTGTGGTTAGTCGGGCCACATGAAGAGGGATTGTCCACAGAGGAGATGAGATATTATTGCGATTGATTCTTGTGTAACGGGGGATACCTATGAGATTAGGCAGTTGCCTGTGCGCAGTTGTGCTAGATGT